AAATCAGTAATGTTTTACTCAAAAGTCATAAAATTCTGTTTTGCCAGTTCAGTCTTATGTTCAAACTCTGTTCTGTTGAATGTGCAGTGTTGCTGTGGTCCAATATTTCTGTTGAAATCCTGGAAGTTAACATTCAACATTGTTATTGATATTTCTCGTCCCTAGCATTAGATTGGTCATTTTCTTGGTTGCCTTTTGTTCTCTTATTTCTGTATATGTCTTTAGTTTTACTGGTAGAGCACTCCTTTCAGAACTTTTTGAAGAGTGGGTCTTGTTTATCTGAGAATGTTTTTAATCCTTTCTTTCCATATCAAAGATAATCTTTCTGGGTACAGTATTTTCGGTTAAAACTGTTTTTCACTTAACACTTTGAATATATGTTCCCATTCTTTCCTCGCTCACATTGTTTCTGATGAGAGATCCAAGGTTAGCCTGATGGGATAACCTTTATAAGTAACCAGATGTTTCTCTCTTGCCAATTTTAATATCTTGTCTTTGTCTATAGATTTGGTCAGTCTGGCTATGATGTGCCTTGGAGAAGATCTTCTTGGGTTGATTCTATTAGGGGTCCTTTGTATTTCTTGGGTCTGGATATTTGAATGCCTCTCTAGATTTGGAAAGTTTTCTTCCAAGATTTTATGGAATAGACTATTAATGCCTTTACTAGTTTCCTCACCTTCTGGGATACCGATTATTCAGATGTTTGGGCGCTCTCAGAAGCCATTTTAAAGCTGAAGTGTGTCCTGGAATGTTACACACCACGTGGTTTTCATATTTTACTCTTTTTTGGTAGTGTTTTTCTAGTTTTTTTTTTCTTTTTGCTTATATTTTATAACCTTACTTTCTTACTCTAAGCTTTACTCTACACACACTCAATGTCTAGATAGGCCTAGGTGCACAGTAGCCAAACATCTGAATACTTTTAGAGTCATTGAAATCCTCAATGCTTATTGAACCTCCTGCTTTAACGAAGAAATTTCTTTTTATAAATCTGAACTCCTAATCTTACTGTTGATACCACATTGCTAAGCACTGTGGAGGAGAGATATTTTCACAGAATGACCAGAAACCACTGCAGAGGCACAAGAAACATGAGAAACCAAGAAAATATCCCCTAAGGAAAAGGACAATCCCTCATCATCCACAAATAGTACAGCACAATTCATGGAAATGTCTTATAGAGACTTCAGAATATTCATAGTGACAAAACTAGACGAGATGCAAGAGCTGAGAGATAATGAACTCCGGAAGATGCAGGAGAAAAGAATTCCAGGAGGTGTTGAAGTTCTTTCATGATCTGAAAGAGGAAATACACACCATAAAAAAGAATCAAATGGAGCTATTAGAGATGAAGGCTGCCAATCAAAACCTCCCTCAAAAGTATTAAAAACAGATAGTCCATGCAGAAAATCTAATCTCAGATGTTGAAGGTAAAACTTCTCGGCTAGAAAAAAAAACAACAAAAAAACCCTGAGAAAATAACCCCCCCAAAATGAGAATTCTATATGAGAAATACGAGATAGCATTAAGCGGCCAAACATCTGAATATTGCTTTTTTTAAAAAAAAATTCTGCTTTTAAATCTAAATCTCTGTGGTTGAAGCCTAATTCCTTGATAATATATTTATCTGATGCCAGTTCCCTCTATGCCTGAATTCTGAAATACTTCCAACACTTAGATTTTTCTCATTCCCATACTCTGTTTATCAACTCATTGGGATACCCTGATGAGTATCAGGATATCTTTCAATTGCTTGACTAAATTGAAAGAAACTATTCTTTATTCATCTCTGCGGCCTAGAATAATGTCTGGTCCCGTGTTCTTATTTCTATATAGACTAGCTCATTGGATATCTTCCTTTGGCCTTCAGATTCACTCATTCCATAATTGACACATCCACCTCCAAGTCCAGGTCCTTCCCATTTTTTCTGGCCAACTGTGTCATAAGTCATTAAAGTTACACAAGATGTGCGATCACCTTTACAGGTCTTTAAACAGTAAGTTTAAAGTAAGTATCTTCCTGAAATAATTAAATGCTAGCCTGTGTAGAAATATAATGATATAAGTAACAAAAATTGTATGATCATCTTCTGTTATTAAAGTAAACGGTAGGCAGTTACCTTTCTGAAACTGTTAAATGATCATCTGTGTAGAAATATGGTGAATTGAGTAGCATTTCAACTTCTTGTGCAAAACTACTAATTTTTAACACACAAACTAAATAGCAAATATTCTTTTAAAAGAAAATCTTAAGTTATTTAGTCAAATAAGTAACCCTTCAGAGATAAACAACTTTCGAAAAAAATGCCTGGAATCATTACCCTTACTCATATATTTCCCCCTAACCTTGTCATTAAAGTTGGAAAGGCAATGGAAACCTTCATATGGATGTACTTCTACTTGCAATGAGGTTATGTCCCAATAAACCATTATAAACTAAAAATAACATAAGTTGAAAATGCATTTAACATATCTACACTACTGAACATCATAGCTTAGCCTAGCTCACCGTAAACATAAATGAAACACTTATATGAGCCTATAGCTGGGCAAAATCATCTAATACATAGTCTATTTCATAATAAATGTTGAATGCCTCATGTTATTCACTGAATATTGTACTGAAAGTGAAAAACAGAATGGTCGTATTAGTATTAGAAGCATAGTTTCTGCTGAATGCATATCACATTCTACCAACATAAAGTAAAAAAAAAAAATCATAAGTCAAATCATCATAAGTTGGGGACCAGAATCTGTATTTCATTTGGGTTCACAATTGTGCTTCTAGGTTTTCATTCTTCTGAGAGCCAATATCTATCATTATGTACATACTATGTGATAGCCAAATAAAGAAATATTCCAATTGCTTTGGGAAGTATGAGTGGTTCTATCTTTAAATAGACTTTTGTTCCATAAATGCCTTGCCTCTCTAAAATATTTTTTAAAAAATAAGCTTTTATCTTTTTTCTTTTATGTTTATTAATTTGTTTCTTATATGAGCAAGAAAAAGAGAAAAAAAGAAAGAGGGAGAGAAAGACAGCGCCCCCAACAGGGTCCTGACACTGCGATCCATCCCCAGTCTTTAGTCAGCTCCAGACCATGAACATATGCATGCCTGGTGCAATCAAGGAGATCTCTAGACTTAACAGGGAACCTTTCCATGTGGAATTACCTCCCAGAGTGTCACATTTTACTGCTGTGCTGTGCTCTGGCTCCACCCTTTTTATCTTCTAGAATTTTGTCCAAATAAGAAATCAGCAACTGAACATTTTCTAGAGTAGTTGGGAAGGCAAGAGATAACTATCCAGAAAGAGAAAGAATTGCCATTTTATTTTTTTATTTTGATTTTTTAGAGAGTTTTTTTTGCTATGGGTGTGTGTACTCACTGGAGAGACAGAGAAAAAGAGTCAGAAAGCAAGAAATCAGACCCCAGGGTGGAGGGCCACACTGTAAACCCCTCTCTTCCATTCTCCTCTCAGGATTTTGAGCACATATGCACATGCGCCTTGCATGAGTTTTAAGCCACTGGGTCCAGGACTTGAACCATGGTTGACCATGTGGGAGTCCAGTGATGTAACCATTATGCCATCTGCTGGTCCCAAAAATGGCTACTTTAACCAGGTATTTGCTCTCAATGGATGCTTGACAAAAATGTGTACCTTACAGTTTAGTCTGCTTTAAAGGACATTATTGCAAATGATTAGTAGCAGATAACTTTTTGGGGGGAGTTCCAGTAATATGATCTTTCAGAATAGGGGGGGAAACATAAATAATAAATAGTACACATAAATAGTACACATTCTCTCTTTCTTTGGGAAGTTCAACTCTGTGTTTATAGTGTGAAAATCAAGCAAATGCCAATTTGATTTGTTTCTGTATGAATGAATTCTCAGACATCTTAAACTAACATTCAAGAAGTCACAAAATTGTATCTCTCTCTGTGCTATGGCACATAGGGACATCTGATGCTTCTGAAAATATTAGATCAGGATCCAGCAGGTGGCGTAATGGTTAAGACACTGGACTCCCACATGGCTAACCACAGTTAAAGTACCATACCTGGCAGCTCACTTTCTCACTTTTTCTCTTCTCTCTCTCTCTCTCTCTTGTTAGTGTCTGAGCCCTATAGCAAATTAAAAAACAAATAATAAGAGGTCAGCAGGTGGTATAGTAGTTAAGGTGCTGGACTCCCACATAATTGCAGTTCAAGTCCTGGACCCGGTGGCTTGAAACTCACACCAGGAATGGGTACAGCCACATGTGTATGTGACCAAAATCCTGAGAGGAGAATGAAGGAGAAGGGATTGTGGCATGCCTATCCCCCCTGGGGTGATTTCTCGCTTTCTGTCTCTGTCTTTCCAGTGAGCATACAAGCCCTATAACAAAAAAAAAAAAAAAAGAAAGAAAGAAAGAAAGAAAAAATCACCTCCCCCAAATAATAATAATGGCAATAAATAAAATTAAATAATTATTAAAAGAAAATAAATACATCAAAGTACCTTATCAAGTTGTTTCAAATGCAGGTAACAGGAAGCCATATTTCTCTGTATCTTGATGAAATCCAGAACCATTTGATCAAATGCATAAAATCTCAGAGAATAACAGTACCAGTATAGAGAATCAGTGTAATTTTGAACCTAAAATTTAAAAAGAAACAACAAAATCAGAGAAATATCATTACATTTGACCCTAATTTTGTTCCAGGTTGCATTTAGAGGCCAAGAAAGATAGTATTGGTTTTTCTTAGGCAACCAAAATGCAATATTCTGCTATTGAGTTCTAAGTATTATCAGTCTTGATCAATACAACTTTTAGATAAGGTGGAAAACATCCTTTATTTTTCCTACACATTAAAAATTTCACACATAGAATGAAGAGTCTGAGAGAATAGTGAACCACTCTAGAAAACTCAAAATCCATTTTAACAGTTATTAAAACAACAATGATAAAACAATGATGTGTTAACAATTATAACAATTTTAAAAAGAACAACTATAACTTACCAAAATGATAAAATATTCAACAAGACTGTAAAATGAGGGAAAAGAAATTGATAGGATAATGGGAATTCTGAAGCAGTTTTTCACCTACTCAATAAAGAAATAAAAGCTCTCTAAAAGAAAACAAGAATGTCACTGTATTTTTATTATTTGTGATTATTTACATATCCGTAAGTCCTAGGTCTCTGTATGCGCCTGAGACGGGATAGAGATGGGAGACAGAAACTAGGCCAATCTTGAGAAGAAGGTTTCAAAGAGAAGACTGAGGTGAAAGAGGGAGGAAAATGGAAACCAGGCTAACCCTGATAAAAAAAAATTTACAGGGAAAAAGAAATCATGGGGATCCTCTCCACCACAATTTGTAGCAGCTTCATGGTCATATATACCCACTCATGCCACAGATAACCTATAGTAAACCTTTGCCTCATTGGCTGCTAGGAAACATATCTCTGGGAAAAGATCTTGGATGTTAGTAACACATACATCCTATGTTTAAGTATGTTCAGCTAGAAAGCATGCACATAAATGAACACACTTACAGGGCTCCTCAAGACCAAACCTAAGTCCTGAATATGTGTATAAATCTCCCATAAAGGGAGAGTCTCAAAGGCACTTGGTGCTGTCCTTCCTATGGAGTAGTTCACTCTGCCTGTGGAGTGTACTCTCACCTTTCCTCAATAAACTTTATTTTCTTGTTTCTTTTATTTTTTCTTCTTTTCTTCTCTTTTTTCTTTCTTCCTTCTATTTTCTTTTTCTTTCCTTTTCTTTTTTATTTAGTTCATTTATTTTATTAACTCAAACAATTACTTGTCTTCTGGTTTGTTGAAGCAGTAAATCAGACAACATTTGCCACAATAATGTCTTTCAAAATGGCTGGCCATAAAAATTCCAGCACCACATTCATCTGAAGGGCACTCTCAATGAAGACTACTATTTTTGTCATTTTTATCCTCCTTGTAGTATTTCAGGGTAGCCAGCTTAACCTTCTTTCCTTATGATTCTTGGGAATGGTATAAAACTTATTCTTTCTATTCTTAGCACCACCATGAAGTCTCAACACAAGAAGAAGCATGGATGTTGTAGTCAGACAAAATACATTGATCTTCCAACTGCTTGCCAGCAAAAATCAGTCTTTATTGATCCAGAGGAATTCCTTCCTTATCCTGGATTTTGGCTTTTACATTTTCTATTGTATCTGATGGTTCAACCTCAAGTGTGATGATCTTCCCTGTAAGGATTTTTATGAAAATCTGCATCTTGGTGGCGGTCCGACCACAGATGGTAGATCGAAAAGTCTTTTCTTTTCTATTTTTTCTTCTGTTTTCTTTATCCTTCTTGTTTTCTTTCTTGTTTTCTTTCTTTCTTTCTTTCTTTCTTTCTTTCTTTCTTTCTTTCTTTCTTTCTCCCCTTCCTTCCTTTCTTCCTCTCTCTCTCTTTTCGCTATGGGGTGCGTGCTCTTGACAGAGAGAATTTGGGGCATGCACACAAATGCACCTAGTGTGTTTCTCAAGCTGCTGGGTCCAGGACTTGAAATGTGTAGTTAGCCATGTGGGATCTAGTCACTTTAACCACCACCTTACATGCTGCAGGGTGCATGCTCTTGACAAAGAGAGAATTTGGGGCATGCACACACATGCACCTGGTGTGTTTCTCAAGCTGCTGGGTCCAGGACTTGAAATGTGTCATGAGCCATGTGGCATCTAGTCACCTTAACTACCACCTCACATAGCTGGCCCAATTAATTTTCATTTTATAGGTTTTTATATAATTGAATAACATAACTCATAATATTCAATACTTTTTTTGGTTCTGGCCTTTTTCATTCAGCAAAATTGTTCTGAGATTTATCTCTGTTATGGCATGTGCTTTTTATTGCTGAGTGGTATTTCATAGCACAGTTTGTTTAATCCATTTATTTGTTGATAAACATTTGTTTTTTTTCTAGTTTGGGGCTACTACAAATGAAGCTGCTATGATTTTTTCTGTGCAAGTCTTTGTATGGATAATTATTTGCTTTTCACTTGAGTCCAAACATAAGATTGGAATGGCTGGATAATATGGTAACCTTAAATTAACCCTTAAGAAAACTACCAAACAGTTTTCCAAACTATTTACACTATTTTGTAAAAGTACATAAAACTTTCCCTTCATGAGAGTTCCAGTTGCTCAAAATCCTTACCAACACTTAGTATGGTTAAACATTTTATTTTGGCTATTCTAAGAGTTATGCAGTAGTATGTCCTTGTTTTGTTTTGAATTTTTGCTATAGGGTGCATGTGCTTGCCAGAGAGAGAGAGAAAGAGAGCACCCCAGAGGGGTGATGACCATGACACATCCCTTCTCCTCCACTCTCTTCTCACAATTTGGAGCATGCACACACATGCACCTACCTGATGTGCTTTTTAAGCACTTGAACTGAGCAGTCAGCCATGTGGAATCCGGACGCCTTAATAATCACACCATGGCCGGCCCTCTCCTTGAGGTTATTATTATTATTATTTTAGATTTTAGAGATTTTTTTCTAGAGGGCACATGTGCTTGCGGGAGAGACAGAGAAACAGAAAACAAAAAATCCCCCCCCCAGAGGCATGGCCATGTTGTAACCCCTTCTCCTCCATTCTCCTCTCAGGATTTTGGACACACACGCAAATGTGTCCAGCCTGTTTCAAGCCACTGAGTCCAGTTCACCACGTGGGAGTCCAGTGCCTTAACGACTATGCCGCTCAGTGCCCTCTCCTTGAGATTTTAATTTACACTCCTCTAATGACTCATAAGCCATTCTTTCTGTGTGCTTATTTTCATGTGTACATGTTTGGTGAACTGTTTATATCTTTTGCTTACTTTCAAGTTGGATTTTAGTATGTTAAATTTTGAGAAATTTTTTTGCATTCTAACTTCTAGTCCCTTTTCATATGCATGTTTGCAACACTGTCTCCCGTTCTGTAGCTTGTCTTTTCATCATCTTAACAGGGTCTTTTGCAGAGCAAAAAAATTAATTTTGATAAAATTCTATTTATCAATTTTTCCTTTATGCATTATTATTTTGGAGTCAAGTGCCTGAAGATCTAGATCATGCCCTACAGCAAAAATCTCTCTTAGAATAAAGAAAAAGAATATCCTTCTTCCATTGAATTACTTTTGTTCTTTGTAAAAAACCAGTTTGGCATTTTTGTATGAGATTATTTTGAGGTTCTCTATTTTGTTCCATTGATCTATGTGTCTTTCTTTTTTAAAAAATATTTTATTTATTTTTAATTATCATTATTATTTAATTCGACTAGAGAGAAAGAGAGAGACAGAGAGAGGGAAAATGAGAAAGCAAGCCACCAGGTCTATGACTTGAACCATAGTTGGCCATGTGGGAGTCCAACACCTTAACCACCATGCCACCTTCAGGCCCCTATGTGTCTAACTTTCTGGAAATACAACACCATGTAGATTACTGTAACTATATATAAGTCTTGAAATTTGGTGGAATTGTTCCCATACTGATTCTCTTTCTCAAGATTATTTTGCTTAGATTACTGGAACTATATAACAAGTCTAGGAAGTGGGTGGAGTGATTCTTCCCACTCCATTTTTCTTTCTCAAAATTGTTTTGGCTATTTTCATTTTTTGCCTTTATATATACACTTTATATATAATTTAATATATGTAATTTACATATACATTTTAGAATTTTCTTGTGTTTCCATATAATCTTTTCATCCTTTGGCTTAAAACCTATTTGTATCTTTATATTTATGTTTCTTCTAAGCATTACATAAACTTGAGTTTTGCCTTTTTTTATACAATTTCACTATCTCTGTCTTCTTATTTGAGTGTTGAGGTAATATTTTTAATTGCCAGATGGTGTGTATGCTCACCAGAGAAATTGAGAAAAGAAAGTACTCCCCAATGGGTGTGGCCATGCCACAATCTCTTATTCATTTCACTTATCTAGTCAGGACTCGGCATGTGCACACAGACACACACACACACACACACACACACACAACACACACACACGGTTTTTTTTTGAAGCTGCTGGAGCCAAGACTTGAACTGTAGTCAGCCATGAAGGGTCCAGCTCCCTTGGACCAGCAGATGGTGCAATGGCTATGTCACTGGACTCCCATGTAGTAGACCGCGGTTCGAGTCCCAGATCTGGTGGCTTAAACTAACACTGGGCATGTGCGCGTGCGTGCCCAAGATCCCGAGAGGAGAATGGAGGAGAAAAGATTGCGATGTGGTCATCCTCCCTGGGGGGTGATTTCTTGCTTTCTACCTCTCTATTTCTCTTTGTCTTTCTGGCGAGTGCACATGTCCTATAGCAAAAACCTCTCAAAATAAATAAATAAATAAATAAAAAAGAATCCAGCTCCCTTAACCACTAGACTACAAGGCCACTTTTTCTTCTTTCTCTTTCTTTCTTGCTTTCTTTCTTTCTTCCTTTCTCTCTTTCTCTCTTTCTTTCTTTCTTTTCTTTCTTCTCTTTCTTTCTTCTTCCTCTTTTATTAATCAAAAGATAAATTTTTTTTGCTATAGGGTGCATTTGGTCACCAGAGAGACAATAGTGTAAAATCACCCCCTATGGGGGATGGCCACACTGCAATCCCTTCTCCTCCATTCTCCTCCCAGGATCTTGGGCATGTACA